AACTCTGCTTATTAAAAAAATTCACTTTATCAAGAGCTTTTATAGAAACTTGGATTTTGCACTAAATGTTAGGTTTGTGTTTATCTTTCCATTTCATACAAGGACAGTTAGTCAGAATAAAAGGAACTTAAATTAAACGCTCCTTTTTTATATATATAATATTACACATTTTATTCTTACATGTAATATGTGGAAGCTACTGGATACCGTAAATTTCCCAGAGGAGATATAAAGCAATTATCTATGAGAATTACGCTGTATTCACATAAAATTCAAAGCCACTAGTAAAATTAGATAATGTAATAATTGTAAATAAATACAAATTTCTACTATTTTTAAGGGTTTTAATAGAAACCTGGATTTCTTTTGGAGTTGTACTAAATAAGAAGCCATCATTTCTTTTCATTCTTGTCATGTTGTTTCAACATGTAAACCTTTGTCTCTGTTTCCGACATGTTTGTTAAGACTAAAAACTGCTTTTTTATAATATTACATATTTTATTTTTAACGTGTAATACGTGCGAGCGACAGGATACCTTGAATTTTCATAATAAATGAATAAATTATTGATCTATTTATGAAAATAATGCTGTATTTTTGTTAAAAAGTGCAAAGCAACGACCAAAATCATGTAAAATTTCCAGTGTCCTTGTTGCACTTTGTTTAATATACAGGTTTTACCAGAAACTTTTGTAGCTGCACTAACTTCTGGCACTCATTTGTGTTTATTTTATCATGTTGGAATCTAAGAATTTAACTTAAATGGTCATCTTATTGTTTTTTAGCTAATTTAAATCAATCTACTAATTGAAAAATAGTCATTAGTGGCAGCTTTAGACTCATGTTCTCTATTTTACACACACACAGCTGTCTCCTGACTGAATACATCCACCTCAGTGGGCTGAATGTGCACCTGTGACCCCTGAGGAGACGACCAGACAGGTGCCTCGGTGGGAGGAGCCACAGGTGACGTCTCGCGCCCAGGTAGGGGTCATTCGATGATCACAAAGTCGCTCCGCGGGCTTCGTGACGGACGATGAGCCGTCACGGAGGAGACACCTTGATCAATGACAGGTGTCGAGGCACGATCCGTCCGCCCGAGTCGTCTCCGTCAGCGGCTAAACCAAACACCGGAGACGGTCGACGAGGCGTTAAAAACCGGGGGATCGTGCTCGACACCTGCCGGTTACTACGGTGCTATTTTGGGGGATTTTTTTTAACGTCAAAGCGTCGTTACCTGGAGGGAAAAAAAACAACAACGACTGCTTCAGCTCCACCGCTAACTTTCTAAATGCCCGTTACAGGGAACGGTGGATTATGAAGCGGTGACGGGGAGTCGCAGCGGAGATCTGGTGATGATAAAAACGGGAGCGGAGCGTGTCAGGCGGGGGTCGTGTCCGTTAACTGTCCGATAACGGGTGCACGCGTGTCTGCATTTACCTGTAAGGGGAAAGAGGCGCTCTTGTTGCCCACGTATCCCCGGACGACGTGGCTCTGTATGGACAGGACGCGGCATTCCATGGCGGCTCCCGGTCAGCCGGAGGAGGGACGAGGAGCGAGAGACGGTCCGGTGGCTCAGCGAGAACCACGTCTGCGCATAACAGAACCGTCGGGGGGGGGGGGGGAAAAAAAACAACAACAAAACAAAAAAAACAAAAACAGGTACACCTCCGCAACCGGAACCGTTTCAACACGGCGCCGCCGCCGGTTAGCAAGAAGAAGCGTCTTCCGTTAGCCTGCTAGCTTAAAACCGGAGTGGGGAGCGCATGCGGCGGCTGGCTGGCTGGAGGAGAGAAGTGGTCGCGCGACGGACGGGATGGATGTGAGGCGCGTGCGACCGAGAGCGAGCGAGCGAGCGAGAGAGGGAGGTTGGGAGAGGGCGGGGGAGAGTGAGAGGGGGGAGCGCGTGCACACACACCGTTAATATCCGTTAACGTTTTTGTTTTTTTGTCTTTACATTTCAGTCTTCTTTTATTTATTATGTCTGTGTTTGTCCACAAAAGTGTGTCACCGCGAGCTCACCGGACAACCGGAAGAAGAGGGGGTCGTGTCGCGTGCTGCAAGGACAAAATGCGCACACGCCACACACATGAACGCGCGCACGCCGTTTCTTTTTCTTTTTTTTTTTTTCTTCCATTTTTTTTCTGCACAGGCGATCTGCGTGACCGCCTATAAACCGGTGACATCATCAGGCATCAGCACAGCTGGACGTGAATGAACGTGACTGACAGCTGGGTTCTGGTCGGTTCTGTTGGAGTCTGTTCATCAGCTTTACACAGAACAATGATCATAATTATTATTATTATTATTTTAAAATTAAAAATATATACATTTATTGCCTCTGTGCAATGACAGCACATCTATGCTAATCCTGTTTCTACTTATGTTTGTATTAGGACTTATTTTTCCACTCGTTTCTATTTTTTTCTCATATATTTATACTTATGTTTATATTTTAGGACATATTTTTCCACTCGTTTCTATTTTTTTAAAATCATATATTTATACTGATGTTTATATTTTAGGACATATTTTTCTACTCATGTTTATATTTTTGCTCATATATTTGTGCTTATGTTTCTATTTTTATTTCCTATTTTGTACTTGTGTTTATGAACTGTTTATATTTCTTGACTTGGAGTGGGAGTAACTGTAGCACCAGCAGTTTCTCCTCTGGGATCAAGAAAACATTTCTGATTCGAAATTGTAATTTTGATTTATTTCTTTTTTGCACTTTTTTGTAAGGATTTTTTTTTTTGCACATTTTTTTCTGCTGTGTTTGTGTGTTTCTCAGTTTGAATTAACATACATAATTATTTAACATTCATTTATCAGTAAAATGTGACAAATAGAAAAATTATTTTCAAGGTATTTTGATGCTGTATTCTTTTTTGTGTAGCACAAATGTATGTCAGTCCAATTCAGCCAAATCATATTTGTAATATTATAATAATGTTTATATATTGCTCAGATGTGACTTGAATAAATGATAAATGGAAAATGTTTGTCCACTTTACACAGCCAAAGTATTCAAGATATTATTTTACATTATTTATTATTCAGATGTGACTAAAAGTCAATGTCAATTGGAATGCTTTTTTTTGGAATGTAATTTGGTTCTATGCGCTTTTCCTGATAGGTCGGTGTGTATGTGTGTTTCTCCAGTTTACAAATTATTCGTGATCCTATTTTACATTAATTACAAAGATATGACTAAAATAACAAATAAATAGAAAAAAATACACATTTTCTGATGTATTTTTGTGCTTCTTTTCTGGTGAGTTATGCATACGTCTTCACAAACAGAAATAAAACATTTTCTTTTGGTGATTTAAGAAAAAAAAAAAAAGGTGTGTGTTTCTCCACTTCACAAAGCCAAATTATTCCAAGTAATATTTTAAATGTAGTTGTTGCTCAGATGTGACCAAAATAAATTAATAGAATTTTAATTGTTTTTTTTGCATTTTTTGGATGCCAAGTTATCAAGCGAATGCACGTTTCTCCAAATTACATAGCCACATATCATAGAAGTGACATTTAAAAAAAAAACTGGGATGTGCTGTTGTGCTGTGCTCTTTTTTTTCCTGGTGCATGTCTTTCTGCACTTCACACAGCCGAGGTATTCCACATAATATTTTACAGTCATTTATCACTCAGACGTGACTAGCGTTACCAATAAACAGAAAACATGCACATTTTTTGTCTTTTTGAACGCGCTCTGGTGCTGGTGCTGCTGTTCTGGTGCATGAATGTGTGTTTGTGACTCACACCCTCTCTATGACAGAGTCGTGACTGAGGGGGGATTTGATTTGGCAAAGACTGAATCTGTCACCGCAGCACACAGCCGGCAGTGATGCAGAGAGACTGAATGTTCAGACAAATATAACTCGCAGCTGCAGGTAGCAGAGAGAGAACCCGGAGAACGAGGGAGGCAGACTGGAGATAATGAAGCTGAATAGAGAGATGCTTCTCTGACAGCTCCACCTGCTGTTCAATGAGGCATTAACTGCTGTATGATGCTGTGACGGAGCTCATGCATGTCCTGAACACCAGAAAAAACAGGTTTGCTCTTTTTAAGGTGCTGCTTTAAAGGTCCCATGTGGTGGAAATCCACTTTAATTGTGTTTTACAATCTTAAAACGGTCTAAGATTAGCATTTCCTCAACTAGACAGTCTCCCAGCTTTAGAAGCCAGTCACAATTCTGTTCAGTTTCTACGTTCCAGTCAATAGTCATCCAGCTCAGTGTAGCTCCGCCCCTAACAGCTTCCAGTTGAACCAATCGGAATGAGCAGCTGCCTCATATACCACCAGGTTTATTTACTTTCTACAGCTGCTTCTGCTAAACTCTAAAATGTCTGAACCACGAGCAAAACTCACCAAATGTTCTGCTGTTGGCTGCAAGAGTGAACACAAGAGTCTTCATGCACTGCCAGCATCTGAGGAGCTGAACTGTTGGTGGTCTGGTCTTAACCTAAATTTCATCCAAAATGGCAAAAACTCAGCCAAAACACAAACCTGTACAGAGTTCATCAAAAATCTCCCAAAGTGACTTGACATTTGTCAAAAATGACTTCAAATAGCTAAAAAAAAAGACTTGCAAACTGTATGAAATGGCACAAAAGTGTTCAAGGTGAGCTAAAACCTGTCTGTAATTTTTCCAAATTCGTCAGAAATGTATTTCCGATCCCGGCTGGTTTTCATGGTTTGAGCTTCGATGTGATGAGCGACCAGCACATTTTATATTTTCAAGCTAAAGATAGAAAGTCCAGGTCTCATACACTGATTCAGGTCTGTTAAGCTGCTGTAAGGTCATCTGTTTTTTTTCATGCTGTCAATCAGAGATGCAGAGAGAGCATTCTTCCTGAAGGGGGCGGGGCCAGCAGCAGCTCAGCTACATTTAAAGCTACAGACACTGAACCAGGAGTTATACAGTCACGGTGAAGCTCAAGCTAAAACATCGAAAGGCACACTCTGGAAAGACTTTAAGTAATTTGTTGAAAAGGGTCAAAATATAGAATCTTTAATAAAATAAAATCCATTATTGCACAGTACAAACCAGCAGCCAGAAATGCACACAAACATCCCGGTATATGCTCCGTCCTCTCCTCGTCTGTTCTCACATGTGCTGCATCTGAAACGAGGAGGAGGTGGAGGTCGGAGAAACGTCAGGTGAAAGGAGGAGCGTCTGTGGATCACTTGGAGTCCTGATCCAGTTCAGGTTCTGGAGAGAAAACAGCACAAGCCTGTTAATCGTTTGTGGTTCTATAGAGCTGCAGCATCATGAGATAAAAATACAGTTCATAAGCTCCGTAGGGAATTGGATTATCAGACAAAGTATTACCCCGGCAGAGTGGATGGAGCCGTATGTGAGTGTAATGTCACATAAATTGGTTTCTATAAGCATCCCTACTGAAAAACACTGCGCCAATTAAAACCAAGCTCATTAGTCAGATCCGTTATGTTACCGGAGAACATGAGGGACGCATGGTGGATTTTCGAGGCCATTACTATCAATAGCTTAGGTTTTACAAAATCAGATAATGCATCTTTTAATAGTCTTTTTTTTTTTTAGCATTACCAAACAAAATTAACTCTCCTAAATTTGGTTATGGACCCCCGAACCCCAAATCCTGGCTTAAAAGGCAGCTTATATGTCTAACAACGTCACCAAAATGACCCACCAGAGTCAGAAGTTATGTTTTTTAAAATGCAAACTCCTCCATCTCTCTCTCACCGGTGAAGGTGAACTGAGGGAAGCTGGTCAGGTCTCCTCCTCCATAGAGTCTCTGGAGCTTCGCCGTCTCCTCTGACAGGTGTTTTTTGTAATCTGGCTCCTCCTCCAACAGTCCGCCATTCAACCTGAGCGACCGAGACGAGACAAATTAAAATAGAATATGGTTGTCAATCAGCCAAAGTCTTCTCCAAACTGCACGTCAAAATCGTTTTCCCTCCAGTTTTCAGTCAGTTTTTTGCAGCTTTTGCCTGTTATTTCTTTAGCTACTGTAGATGTAAGTGGATGGACCATGAGACAAATTGCATGAACCATTTAGGATGGGAAAACTCAACTCCATCACCTCTCAATAACAACAATATTTAAAATGAAACAGAAAGAATACAGTGGAAAAATTCAGGCCCCAAAATAGAAACTCAAAGCAACAAAAGTGAAACTGAACTGAATCCAGCTGTGGTTTCCAATCAGCCTAACTGTATAAACATGGTTCTACAATGAGCTGAGAACAGCAGAACCTTCTCAGTTCTGGACCTATGGACTGTGTCTATCTATGTCTGCATCATGGCTCCACATGGAGAAGACCTGAACAGAGGAAGAGAAACATCTGACTGAGAGACTTGACAAAGATGGAAAAGGATCCAGAAGATCAGTGAGCAGCTAAAACCCAGTGAAGCCCAGTGTGAGCAGTAACCAGGAGGTCCAGAAGGAGCCATAGTAGCTCTGATCAGGGCTGCAGTGGTCGTCCTCCTGCAATGACTCCACGGACAGTCAACTACTGTCACTATGGAGCTGTGAACAGCAGACAAAGGCAGCTGCTTCAGACTTGGCACAGGGCTTATCAATGGAGACCAGAGTTAGTGTGAAGCTCAGACAGTGTGAAGGACACTTCAGAACATCAACCTCTATGGACGGAGGACCAGAACTAAACCTGGCTGCTGCTCACAACTAAACTTCCACATCAAAGTTTGCTGCAGAAGATGAACAGAAGTCTGATGGATGCTGGAGAACATTCTCTGGTCAAGTGAAGATAAATGTGTTGGGCTCAGATGGAGTCCAGATGTTTGGTGTGAACCTGACCAGGACCACCACAGTGGATGCATGGTCCTGACAGTGAAACACGGAGGTGGTAGTATCATGATATGGGAACCCTTTTTCTGCCTCTACCTGCGAAGATTTTTGTATTCTCTGATCTTCTCCAAGAAGAGTCTCTGGACTGGGTCCAAATCTGAAAAACACACATAAAGACAACACTGTTAAAACGACTACCAGACATTTCTGAACCGTATACATCTGAATCCTGTTTAAGCATCTCCAACTATAGTTTGATTAAGTTTAGAAAGTTGAAGAAGATCATGGTTTAAATTCTACAAAAGCCGACAATAGCTGATATGACGACGTGTGGACCAGCTGTCTGGTATGAATGTGATTCTCCAGTGGTTAAATCAACCTGTGGTTGTGTTACCTTTGTGCATCACCACATCTTCTTCATTCCCTGTAGCATCCTCCTCCTCCTCCACCTCCTCCTGTCCCAGCAGCACCTCCTTTACAACAGCAGGAGTTGAATGATCAGCCGTCTCTGCTGTGTCGACGACAGCTGCTGTACAAACCCCAGGAACAGGACAGTCAGCAAACTCTAGACTTCATGCTAAGCTAAGCTAACCACCTCCTTGCAGTAGTTCTAGGTAAGATAACAAATAAATGTATTTTACAAAATATTGGAGTGACTTTACAGTGTAAGTGGTGTCTGCCATCACCTCCTCCTAGTCCTAATATCTCTTCACCCCTTGTTGGAGTCAAACTTACCATCCAAAATGTTTGCTGTCACAACTGGACCGGTCCGATGGTCCGTTCCACCTGCTGCATGCTGAGGAACAGCGAAGAGCAGCTCCTCCATCACTGCATCTGTCTGAAGATCTTCAATGTCAACTTCAGGCAGAGACAGAGGTTCAAGGTTTAGAGCCTCAGTCGCCTCTTTAGACGCTGTTCCTTCATCAACCTCCATCTTCTCCTCTCCAGCCAGCATTTCAGCTTCTTTCTCCAGATAACCCGTGGTTTCAGTCAGAGACTCACTCTCCAGAGTTCCCAACGAAGCCTCAGCTTCAGCCAAGGTCACTGACTCCAGAGACATGGCCTCCAAAACACTGTCTCCCTGTGACTTTGACTCTTTATCTGCTTCCTGATCTGCAGCATCATCCCGTGGTCCCAGCTCCTGGAGGGGAGCATCCGTTGACTTTATTGGTCCCTGTTCAGAACCCAACATGGCCTCCATCACGATGGCAGTCTCAGCTTCTATTGCATCGGTTGCCTCAGCAATAGAATCCACCATTAACAATTCAGCCTCTGTGTCATTCTCAAAAATGGTAACATCCTCTTCTGTCTTCTTCACTTGCATCTTTTCCTCTACAGCCAGAACTTCAGCTTC